AAAAAATAGCTATTCTGATTATCTTCAAATGTTCACAATATTTGTCAATTGCATTGTTGCTATATTCTTTATAGTGTTAGAGGCCCCTACCCTTCCTTGTTCTAAGAAATCTTAGATTTTAAGCTGTTCTGGCCTGTAAGCCAACCATCACCATGATCAATGTATGACCTATCTATCACCGTGGAAGTTTCTCCACAGCCTTTGTACAATCTGTCTTTCCCTTCATCTTATCATCCCTTCAGCCCAGGAAAGCACCGGTTTCTCTCCTGGCATTGTAAGCTCACTTCAGCTTCCCGGGCATTTATGTGAATGCAATCATTCAATGCAGATAGTCCTTGGCTTACAATGGTTCAAACTCAATGACTCTTTGGGTTTACGGGTAACAAAACTATGTACATTCAGTAGAAACTGTACTTTGCATTTTGTTTTTGTTCTCCTTAATACTTAGGATAGTGCTCTGTATGATACCAGGCAGTGGCAGTCATGGCTCCCAGTCATCATTTTGACTGTGAAGGTAAACAGCCAAGGACTCTGTATACTGCATTAAGCTAGGATATCTGGTACGTTAGTTACATTAAAAGCATTTTTGACATAATATTTTTCAGCCTGTGATATATTTATTAAAGTGCGAGATCTTTGTACATCAGGAAGCATCTGTATGTACTTTTTGTTTTATTTCAGGATTATTTCAGTGTAATTATTTTTATGTTTACTCATGTTATTGTATATATTAAAATTTTTGTTGTTTTTCATTGCTGAGTCTAAGTCCATCATAAGCTAGAGTTCACCTTTGGCTAGACAGGCTGGACAGCAAGTTGCTGAAACTCACTTGTCTCTGCCTCCTCAGCAACTGTGCCACAGACATGCACCGTGATGCTTGACTTTTATGAGAATGCTGGGGATCTGAACTGAGGTCCTTAGGCTTTCACAGCAAGCACATCATCCACTAAGTTATTCCCCAGCCCAAGGATGATGTGACTTCAGAACAAGAAAATCATCAAGATAAAGAAGAGTTCTACATAATGATAAGAAAGCTGACTCTTAAAAAAAAAATGTGTGTGTGTGTGTGTGTGTGTGTGTGTATGCAGGCAAAACATTTCTACACATAAAATTATAAAATAAGACATGAGTTGGTTCTAGGCCTAAGGTATTGCTGTGATGGAACTAACCCATGTCGTTTGTTGGAGGATTATAGAAGACTTTGGGATTTAGGACTAGAAAAGCACTTGGATGCTTTAAATTAAGAGGCAATTTTAGTAGGAACATGGAAGACAGTGCTGAGGGAAATTTGAACTGTGGAGGCCTAGCTCAAGTTTCAGAGGGAAATAACCTTAGAAAGTGGCCTAGAGACCATTCTTGTATATTTTGGTAAAGAATGTGGCTACTTTTTGCCCTAGTCCTAAAAATCTGCCTGAGGCTAAATTGAAGCATTTTGGATTAATGTCATTGGAAGAGCGTTTTGACATCAGATGCAGAGTTAGGACTTTGCCCAAATGGCTTTCTGTCTTGCTTTGGTCCAGTATTTCCTAGCTATGCTCCCTTTCCTCCACTTTGGAATAGGAATGTGTATCCTGTGCCATTGTATGTATGTTGGAAGTATGTGATCGCAGAAGAGACTTTGAACTTTAGACTTTTAAACATTGTTGAGACTGTGATAGACTATGGGAACTTTTGAAGTTTGAACACAGTTTTGCATTATGATATGGCTACAGTCTATGGGGACTAAGGAGTGAAATTTGGTGATTTGAATAAGAATGGCCCCCATAGGCTCATATATTTGAATGCTTGGTCACCAAAGAGTGACACTATTTGAAAAGAGTAGAAGGTGTAGACTTGTTGGAGGAGGGCTTTGAGGTTTTAAAAGCCCATGTCAGGCCCAGTCTCTCTTTCTCTGCCTACAGATCCAAATGTAAAACTCTGAACTACTTCTCCAGTGCTAGGCCTGAGTGCATGCTGCCATGCTCCCCACCATGAAGACAATAGACTAAACCTCTGAAACTACAAGCAAGACCCAAACAAATGTTTTCTTTTATAAGAGTTGCTTGGGCATGGTGTCTCTTCACAGCAATAGAACAGTGACTAAGACACTGAGTGAGTTCTTGAAAAATGGAGCCCTCTGGTCCCCTTTCAACACTCAAGTTCTTTTGCTATCTGCTCATGTCTGTCTTGTTGTTATGTCTAGTTTTGGGACATAGTTACAGGGTCATGAACAGTTAAGCGATCTGGGCTTTGATCCAGCTCCTTCTACCCTGCCACCTTAGCTAGGTGTTTTCTTTGTAAATGGTGAAAGGCCCCAGGACTTTATGAAAATTAAAAATAAAAGACTTGTGAGATGCCCAGAGCAAAAAGAATGCATGATTAAACAGTAACTTCACCAAGTTGTTTCTCTGTCCTTCAAAGCTAGTGTGTGCTCTTCCTCCACCGAGCTCCTAGAAACTTACCCAGTTCCGTTAAGTACTGAGCTATTTTTAGGAAGCACGAATTCACATTTCTAAATAGGTCAGACAAGTATGAGGGAAACGGCAGAGAACCTGCAGTACTTTCCCAGTGCTGTCTTGCAGGCCCCTCCCCGTGCCATATGTTTGCACATTTAAACACGCAGGACTATTCTCTGCACAAAGAAATGTGTTTTCTTTAGAGGATGCGTTCAGTTCTAGAGGTTGTTGATGATTAGCCTTACCCCCAAACCCCACTTGGACGCCTCCTGGCATTGGTGCTACAGTGGAGAAAAAGTTGAGGGGGACTTGGAAAGAGTCGGGAGAACGTACAGTGGAGTGCCAGGACAGTGGGGCAGCACACACGGACTCAAGGCACAGGAGTTTACAAAACAATATGGGAGTATTTCACACACATGTATGCTAACTGAACATCAGTGCTGGCTGGCTTCCATGGCTTTTCAAATGGAGCTTTCTTGACCAATTTTTCTATATCTCTATCTCTATATCATGTATGTGTGTGAATGTGGTTCTCTCACACACACACTCACATGCACAGAGTATTCAGAGAAATAATAGTTTTCTACAAGCTCATGCCCCATCTAAAGTAGGCAGCCTCCATCCAGCTCCAGCCTAATGTCTTACACCAGCTTAATCTTTGACTCTCTCCAGAGATGCCAGAGATGCAGACTTTTGTATTGAATCCTTAATGTTGGCTCAATGCTTTGGATCTCTGTGTAGGCCAAACACTGCATCCCAAGCTTTACAGGACTTCACCTTATTCTGCACAGAAAAAAAAAATTGATCATTTGATAGTTGGGAGGACAGACAACTAGCCCATTGTACACTGGGAAGGTGTGGATGGTGAACCACTTTGCCTAATAAGTAACTTTTCTCACCTACGTGTCTTATCATGCCACCACTCAAAGTTTCTGGGGTAAAGATTTTTCATCAGTACCAAGTGCCTCCATCAACATCATCATTATTATTATTATTATTATTATTATTATTATTATTATTATTATTATTATTGGTTCATTGCTTTAAAGTTCTCTTGCTTAATCTGTGTGACTCGAGCGAACCTATGACGATCTACGTGGTATAGCCATTTCAGTTATGGTACCCACCCTCTTCATAACCAGGCTTCACATCGATATCTTGCAAACAATACACAAGAAATAAAGTTTGTTCTGGAACTAAACAAATGATCTGCCACACAGCAGTTAGACTCAGCCCACATTTGAGAACAGGGCTGAAGAACTTGGGAGATTGCAAGCACCTCCCCGGGAGACCCATCTGGGAATTAAGTTTGCAAATCTGCTGTGACTGGCACCTCGTTCTCAGCCTTCCTTCTCAGTGCCAACAGGATCTTTTGCTTACTTCCCAGAACAAAGTGAAACACAAAGGCAAAGGCTAAACCTCCATCTGATTCTTGTGCTGGAAAGCAAATTCTACCTGTGATCTCTTTACCTTTAAAATATCCAAAACTACCTAGAAAATAGTTACACTACCAATGGTAAATGGTTATGATAATGGAAATGGCTAAAAGTAAAGATATGCACAAGTGTGATATGGAAGTAGAATTAGAACCCTGCAAATGAACAGGGGGGACAAACAGGAAGGGATGGGAGGTGGATACACTCAGCATACAATATACACTGGCACAAAAAATATTCATATATTCATATGCAATACAGGACCATGTAGAATGAATATACACAATGAGAACTTTAAAAAGAAGCTTTTTAAATATGACACTTTAAAATTGGAAGAATTCATTCATGTTATAATAAACCTCAGGGTAAGTTTCTCCCATGTTATCATCATAGAGACATCATTTGGTTTTATCCACCCTTGATCAAATTAACAAACATCTGCTCATCACCTTACTTAATCATGGTTAGAATTCAAAAAATTGATTCTTTAATTCAAAAAGAGTGCAAACTAGACTAGAAAGACAGCTCACCTGGGAAAGAAAGGTTGCTTGCAGCCAAGCCTGATGATCTGGGTTCAAATCCTGCATCTCCTCCCATGGTGGAAGGAGAGAATGACTCCTGACAGTTATCCCCCTCTCCTCCATACATGCCCTGTGCCATCCACATACAAACACACAGAAGATAATAAATGAATGTGTGATGGAAATAGCACGTGCTCATTTGAGAGAACCAACCAGTGTCTATAAAGTTAAAGAAAGCTTTCTCCATATCCCTTTACCCCTTCCTCAACCATCCTACACCAAACTGGAATGACTATTGATAAGTTCATTCACCTCCTTATTGCTGCCCACACAAAATACATACCTACATATGTTTGTATGTGCATACTCCCCTAAAGAACATTGTCATTATATTCCATACTATATCGACTTAACTTTTTCCTTCCTGCTCACTAAGGTCACATACTAATTGGCCTAGTTTCTCTTAAGATTACTTATTTTTTCACAGTGTTAATACACCTTTGACAACTTCCCACTCGAGAGCCATTAATATCTCCGATTTTCTACCACACAGTATGTGGCAGCAAATAGCACCGGTTTAGGTTTTAATTTGCTTTTCCTTTTCTCAGGACTGTGGAAGCTGGAGTCGCTGCAGAGTCTGGATCTGTCATTCAACAGGATAGTTCACATTGGGCTGCCTGATTTTCATAGCTGCCTGCAGCTGGAGAGCATCTATTTAAAGAGCAACAAGATATGCACGATTCACCCTGAAGCCTTTAAGGGCCTCAACAAATTACAGGTTCTAAAATCTTTTTTATCACTGACTTAACTACACAGACTTGTGACCAATTAAAATAGGGGACTGTTTCCTTTTAAGGATGTCTCCATGTGCAGGGCTACTGGCTGTTATTCAAAGTATGTGAGTCTCTTTAAGACTCCTAAAACAACCAATATCTATTGCTCAGAGAGCAACTACCACAACCATGGACACACACTTAGGAAGAATTCACATTATTGGGCTGTAGATGTGGCTGGGTGGAAAAGGGGCCTGCCTAGAATGCCACCAGCCCTACGTACAATCCCCAGCATACACATGTATTCTGGGGTTGGGGATAGAAGCTGCAGAATCATTAAGTTCAAGGTCATAGCTACATGCATATCAAGCTCAAGATCAGCTGGCTTACAGGAGACACTGTCCAAAAATGAAAGAAAGAAATTGGCATGTTATTTATCTAAATCAAATTAAATTCAACTCCAAGATTCCATTCACTGGTTGACAAGAAATTGAATGTGTTATTTTAAAGTCTGAAACCAGCCTGATCTACATAGGGAATTCCAGCTCAGCCAGGGTTACAGGATGAAACACTGTCTTAAACAAACAATGCCACCTACATCAGCTGCAAGTCCAGTCAGAGGTACTAGTACAAACTGGAGCCTTCGGGAGGAACTTCTGAGCCAGTGTGGCCAATGCTGAGACATCAGAAGCTCAGGGCCATATGGATTGCTGCTGGCCAACGGCCCTGTATTTTTCATGTCCAGAGCATAAAAATGACAATGATAATAGTTCACACATGTGCATCGCTTACCACATGCCATGCTTATTCTAAACACCGCTGACATTCTTAGTGGGCCATCTATGTCACACTTCAGAGCTGTGAGCCTTGCAAATTGTTTCCCTCATAGCAGACTGAGGAACCCCAGAGTCCTGTTCTTGCAAACACTTTTCTCCCTGTCCTTCCCTTCAGTGAGGACAGTAGGATGGCTCCTGTAGTAAGACTCTCCCTGGCATTCTCTGCTCTATGTAAGAAAAGCATCTCTATTTTATGGAATGACATTCCATTGCTGCCATTGGCAGTCAATTGGCTAGATTGCCCTGGCTGGGCTGGAGGGAAGAGATTGTTTTGTTTTGTTTTTGTTTTGTTTTGTTTTGTTTTGATTTGATTTGGTTTGGTTTGGTTTGGTTTGGTTTTTCAAGACAGGGTTTCTCTGTGGCTTTGGAGGCTGTCCTGGAACTAGCTCTTGCAGACTAGGCTGGTCTCGAAGGCACAGAGATCCGCCTGCTTCTGCCTCCCGAGTGCTGGGATTAAAGGCGTGTGCCATCACCACCTGGGAAAGAAATTGTTTAAGGGTCTGATTACCAGAAGGTAGGATCATGAGGGACAACTCTGGAGTCTGTCTGCCACGGCAGTTATTATAGCACAAGAGCCCACTTCTCTTGGCCACACTTTCCATTTCTCGGCAAGAGATTGGAAGGCTGTGAAGAGCCTTAACTAGTTGTACTGCTTACGGGGACATATGCATGTGGAATTTGTCCTGTGTGTTCCTCTCCTGTGCATTTTATTGCACTTTAGAGTCTTCAAAGCTCAAGGGTATAATAATAATAATAATAGCATAGGCAAGCTGTAAGTCAGCTCTGAGCATGGTTGGAATATAGCCTTAATGCTCAACTCACCAGAGCTGGGAATATTCATAGTTACCTGCTCGGCATTCCCTTCTGTGTGGTTGGCAATAACTCCAAACACTGGCTATGGCCCATGATGAAGATGTTTGGCACAAGGAAGCTGAATATCACAGCGGTTGGCTTTTTCCCTCTGGAAGATAAATTTCACATTTGCACTGTTGTGTTTGTCTTCCCATGAGGGCTCCTTTCCTGAAGCCAAATAGATTTTTAAAACATAAATCCATCAGCATACTTAAATGGATGAAGTGAGTTTCACTGACATTTCAAATTAGCCTTTCTTTTCCTAATCTTATCTCGTTCTTCTTAGATACAGTGATTTGTGTAGCAATATGCTGCCTGTCTCCCAGCCTTCCCGGAATATATGTATCTCTTAAATGCTGCAGTATGGGGATTTCTTTTGCTAAGTCACAATTCTGTTTTCATCTTTTCTCAGAAATTATTCTTTCTGCATTATTTCATTCATTTTCTTTGCTCCAGACTGGCTTTCAGTTCCATGATTTACTTTTTTTTTTTTTTTTAAATAGGGTGTAAAAATACACCAAAAAGGGAAATATCTACCTAGAAAACATGAGAATAATTCAGTGTGATGCCCAGACAAGACACCAATGGGGGAAAGGTCTGTCCCTGGGCAACACCAGGCCCATAGAAAGTACTTTCTTTCCTCCTTGTCCTGGCCTCCTGCTTTCTGAGAGTCAAGACTGCATAGCTGCTTAGCACAGGACAGCCACCCTGGATAAGTTCTGGATAAAAAAAAAAAAAAAAAAAAACAAAAAAAAAACTCAATTCTATCTTTAGCAATTTTGTTTATGGTGAAGTGTTTTGGTTGTTAGACTTACCTTATTTTAGGAATTTGTATAATCTGCCGGGCATTGGTGACTCATGCCTTTAATCCCAGCACTTGGGAGGCAGAGGCCGACGGATCTTTGTGAGGTCAAGACCAGCCTGATCTACAGTGCTGGTTTTCCAGGACAGGTTCCAAAGCCACAGAGAAACCCTGTCTCAAAAAAACGAAAAGAAAAAATTTTAAAAAAAAATTTAAAAAAAAGGAATTTGTATAATCTAAAAGTATTGTTTTTAGAAATTGGCATTGATCAAGGGGCTAAACAATGAGGATTGCCATGAGTTCAAGGCCAGCCTAGATTACATAATGAAACTTTGACCATTCTTGGGGGATGGGAGAGAAAATGTTGTCCTGGGTAATAAGTGACCTTTCTAGTTTTCACCATGTCCTCTTTTGTTAAAGCAAGGCTGGCATTTTCTGTTTTCTGATTTTTACTTCCATTGACACCACTGATAGTCTCCAAATGTCTTCTTCACACTAATGTGGTAGCTCAGAAAGGGTATGGCTTGAAGTGAAGACACACAGCTAGGAGGCCAGAAAACATCACAACTCTCATTTAATTCTTCAGCATTTCCATTCATTGTTGTTACTGTTGTTTGGGACAGAGTGTTGAGTAGCTCAGGATGGTCTCAAACTTGGTATTTTGTCTGACCTTTCTCTTATATCCTCCAGTCTCTTCCTCCTAAGCACCGGCATTGCAATACACCACCACACCCGATTATAGTTTCCAATATTTACTGAGCGCCTGTTCTGATTCAGACCCCTGTACCAAGTACATTCTGTGTGGGATGCCCTGTGTGGAAGGGGAACTGTAGAAGTTGTTGGCAGAATCTGAGAAAATATACAAAGCACTCAGCAGAATGACTGGTTTACATACAGCACTGCTCTGCCAGCGGTAGCCCCCACCATAGTTAACGCAACTTCCCCTGCAGTGCCATGCACTGCTGTGCCCAGCTTTAGCACACCCTGGCCTGTCACTTGAGCCACTGAATCATTTCTGCGCCTTGGTTCTTCATGCATTTCTAATTGTGGAGGGGAAATGAGTCATCTTGCAGGTACTGAATGGCCGTAAGTTCACAAAGAACTGAGTACTACTATCTGAGACAGTTAATCGACCACAATTTTCCTGTTTTGTGGACTTGTCATTCACATACTTTGCTATTACCAAGATGGTAACAGTTTGTGAAATTCTTGGCCTGGATCCAATTCTGAATGATAATAGCTTGTGAGTCTGGTGTTTGCCATAGGTTATATGGTAAATAAAGATGTCTGAAAAGCTTTCGCAAGCATCTAACCCATGAACAATGCTGGGAGGTGGGCTCACAGAAAGCAAACAATTGTGAAGACACAGAGACATTGCGGGCAGGGCAGGAATTTAAACCGAGTAGTCACTGGCTTTTATGCCAGGCCTGAATGTGTATTGTTTTTGTAGAGCTAGAAATACCTGTGTGTAAGTCCTTATAGTGTTTTACCTCAGTGTTTGTGTATGCTGACCTATATTCGCTTCTTTTTGAGCAGGTGGTAGACCTCAGGAGCAATGCACTGACCACCCTTGCACCCATTGTGACCATTGCTCTACAATTACCCCACCTGGAACTTGACTTGGCTGATAACCAGTGGCAGTGTAGCAAGAGCAATGTCAACTTCCAAAATGCCACCTCTGCATCCTGGAGGGAGAAGTGGGATGCAATCTGCAACATGTCTGTGGGTGAGTGAGTGGCATCTTTATTCTTTTCTCTGGAATAGTTTCATCTGGATGGAAAGTGCATATAAGAAGTTGGTCTCCTTAAAAGTAGTGACAGTCTCTCAAAAAACAAGGATGATTATACCACTGAGGCAGGACAATCTGGGAAGGTTTTATCCCCTTCTATATTCACTCTCCTAAGAACAAGATTCAGGACAAAAGACCTGCAATCTGACCGCTATGGGTTTGCCATTAAAGCAGCGTCATTGCCATGACTCCTGAGTTTAGAAGACATCCATGCGGAGCAGGGGGGGGGGTGTCATCAGCTGGGACTGGCATTCTGAGTGTGTGGGGCAGCAGCAAAAAGTGGGTGTTTACTGTTCACCAGAACTGGGGAATAAAGAGGAGCTAATATCCCAACCTACAAGAAGTAGAGCAGAAGCGGGGTTAATAGAGCATTCTAGCAAATTCAAAGTAGTTGAGGGGTATAAAGGAAGGAGAAGTCATGTGTCCGTCCTCCCATCTGGTGGCTTCCTCCTGTGGGCAGCAGTAGGGCAGGGGGCCTCAGAAGCACAACCTGTTGAGCCTGTGAGAAGCATGTCTATCTCACGGTCTTGTGGGAATGTATACAGAGCCTTGTGCGTACTGTGGGCAATGAACAGGAATGAACACATGCATGAATAAAGTCACCTGTTTCCTGATACATGCTTGAAAATATAGCTAGTTAAAGATGGGGGGGGGGGTGTCACAGAAGCTCTGAAAGCCTGGTGTCTGTTCCAACATCTTGTCTGTGTGTTTTCCCATCTCCCTCTTGCAGGGAATGAGAAGCCATATTTGGAGGCTCCCCAGATCAGAATTTCCAGGGAAGCACACCTTCCTCCTACTCCACCTGAGGAGAAAAGCGTCATTCAGAGCAAGGCAGAGAGGTCCCAGGGAGGAGGGGACATTCCCCTTTCCACTCTGGAGAAGCAGGCACAGGTGGGCTATGATGACCTGGAGGAGATACAGCCATGGCCCTCCACAGAACACAGAGACTCCCAGGACGGACATGACACTGTCAAAAAGGGAGATGATTCCCCAGATCTCGTCCTGGCCATCTGCCTGTCCGTGTTCATCACATTTGTGGTGGCCTTCTGCCTGGGCGCTTTCGCAAGGCCTTATATTGACAGGCTATGGCAAAAAAGCTGCCTGAACAAAAGGGCTGGCTCTGAAAATGCCTATGCAAATGAGGGCTTCTATGATGAAGTTGAAGCTTCCCAACGTGCACAGTGCCAAGGGACAGAGCTGCACCAAGCTCCCCACCACCTCAACCTTTATGAGAGACAGAACCCTTCCTGGGTGACAGAGCCAATCCCATATGATGCTGTCATGTCAGATAGGGCATTGGAGAGTGGCAGGATGGAGCTCAATGACCCACAGAACCCAGTGCAACTCGAGGACAGCATCGGGGTGAGAAGTGGAGACTGCAAGGCACTTCTGTATGCCCATGTGACCCATTCTGCTCTCCCTGGACTCCCACATGCTGATACTCAAGAGCCTGTTTCAACAGGGCAGGATCACTGCGATGGTCCAGAAGAATTACATTATGACACGGTAGGCTGGGAATATCCTCTCTACGAGGGTGTGACAGATGGATCTTCCATTGCTGGCCCTCTGGGAACTATCCCCAGCTCCATCGATGGTGGATGGGATGAATTGTACCTGTCACAGTCAAGAGATGTTGTAGCTCCCATCTCCCAAGCTCTAGTACATGCAAACACACAAAGGTCTGGGGAGAGTAAGGAAAAAGGGTGCCCTGAACCTTTGGAAGCTGTGGACTCACCAATGGAATCTTCCCTGGTGAGCAATTCCATTCAAGGGCTGGCCACACAGCAGCCATGCTTCCAGGCAGCCGATGATGAGGAAGAAGTTTCAGGTATCTATGATGAGGTCTCATACAATGACTCAGGAGATGTAGACCGACCCTCCCTTACGCCAAGATGGGACAGCGATTCCCATGTCACTCCTGACTCTGAGAAACTTGTGCTAAGAGGTGCTCCTTTTGACTCTCATTATGACTTGGTGACCAATTACCAGTCCGATTCTGATGAGGGCTCTTTGTTTACCCTGAGTTCTGAGGATTCTGAGGATGAAAGGAACTTGACTGAGGAACAAGTATCTGTGGAGAATGGTGGGGCCAGTGAGCCTCTCCCCAGCACGAACTTGGGAGAATATGAGGAAAATGTGACATCAGCAAGAAGTGATGAGGACATCATCTCACAGAGGATTCTGGAGAAATGTGAAATTCAGGAAGCTCTCTTTGGAAACCTTCTCATTTCTAGTCCAGACTCCTTTGTGTGAGATGAATCTGGGAAGTGACGCTAACTCCATTGTCCCTGAGAATATAACAACCTGGCCCTGGGCTCCAGGCCATAAGCTATCACATTATGAGATCCCAGGCATATTTGTAGGTAATGGTGATGTAGGGCCCCAGTCCAAGGCAGTAGGGCACTACTGCCTTAGCGACCTGGAATTCCCAAATGTGAATCATTCACCATCACCGAGGAGCCTGCCACCAAAGAGAAGTACACATTGGTAAATAGCCACCTTTTGTGGCTATGGATAGAGCTCTGTTGGTGGACCGTTTGCTCACCGTGCACAAGGTCCTGGGTTCAATCCCCAGCACTGTATGAACTGGGCACAGTAGTACATACTGTCATCCCAGTGCTCAGGAGACAGAGACAGGAAACACAGTTTAGACCAAAATGGATTATTCAGGGTGGGTGATAGAACTGTCTGGCAAATTAGAGCCCCATTGCTCCAACAATCAGCTTGAAGCAGATGCCAGGTCTACATGACAATTCCCAGTCTCCCACTCAGACTGCAGGCTCACATCCCCAACTGCAGTTGCATAGATACTCATGGATCATCCAGGAACCTAAAAGTCATCATTTTCATTCACAAATATGATCTCCCAAAGTCACTTTTAGAGTCAACATTATCACCGTGTCAACTCAGTAAATCCATTTACAGTTCTGTGTTAGTCTTGACTTCTCTTTCATTTCCTGCATCTGCACAGCCTCTAAACACAAGTGCAGTGTGAGCTCCTGGCTGTCTGTGTGGGGCAGTCTGAATCTGGGCTAGACAATTTTCACTGGATTAGGGCTTAGAAGATGCAAAGTAATGGAGTTTGGAGGAAGGGCACCAAGAGTCTCCCAGTCCGCATCACAGTGTCACTGCTACTCCTCAGGTATCTGGCTCTCCAATCACTCTCACAAAGGCTCAGGCCTTGACCCTCCCATCTTCTCACTCACATTCCTTTGGGAGAGTTCTCAGGTGTCGGGCTTTAGCCACACCTACCTCTCTGCGAACATTTCCTATTTCAGTAACTCTAGCTTTGAAATCTTTTCGAGATATTATGCTCACATCCTATAGTAGTTGCCTATCTACTTTCAAGGCAAATGTACCCACACTGACACTTATCCTGTCCCCTCATCCTTGCCACCCACCAGATCTGGTCCTTCATGTTCACACAAAGACTCCATCCAAATATCTAAGGATTTTTCTGTTGATAATTATCTTCATGATTCTCATATTTAACCTCATTGTCATTAGGTATAGCCAGTTCGAGGCCCTAAATACCTGTCAAGTCCATTCTGCTTTCTCTGTCCATTCTGTTACAGTTTTAGCCCTCACTTTGTCATTCCCACCAGATCGGTCACAATGTTGCACAAACTGCCTTCTACAAGTCCTGTATTAGCTAAGAGTCTCCAAGTAAATAGAACCAATATGGCGCCTAGACACAGAAGGAAAGATTTACTGTGGGAAACTGACACACAAGATGATGGGGACACAGAAGTCCCACAATCTGTTCTTTCCAAACTGGTGCTGTGTAATACAGTCCCATCCTAACAACGAAAGTTAAGGAAATGTGGGTTTGATATTGTAAATCCCAGTCTGAGTCCAAAGCTTAAGGACCAGGAGCACTGACGCCCAAGTGAAGTGGGGAAATGGCGGTCCCTCAGTATGGCGGAGACTTTCTAGTCTCGAGTGGGCTTAATTCAGTGGCCAGGGGCACAGTCACTAAAACCTCTACAAAATCAGTGGTATTCCAGGTTCCTGGTGTTGCAAACACCAAGGGAATTTCACAAGTAATGGAGAGTAAATTCAACAAGGAGCTTTATTATAAAGAGAGAGTAAGTATAGAAAGTAGAGGGACTTTGTTCAGGAGTTAATAAGACTTTTTGCCTAAGGAAGCAGATAAGTCTTTGAAACTACTGGGCTAGGAAGTAAGGAGACACAGGCTGACCAGCCCAGCTGGACCAGCTATAGGGTGTCCTTGTGCATTCTCGTGACTGGGTTGAGATTCTGGCACAAGTCTTCAAGGACCAGTGAAGTATTCCTTCATGCATAACTCCAAGACAGCTGTATTCATTAGGTTGCTATGCTATTGATGAAAGAATAAATAAATAAATTCATAAATAACCTAGGACATGAACCAGACCAATGCCTCCTGGCCAAAACATTTTCAGTTAGGACAGAACAGCCATAGAACAAAGGAAATTGCTGGCTCCTGGCAAGGACAGGCAGGTTGGTCTTTTTGAGCTTCCCACCCTAACTACCTGTCAAGTTTCTAGCTCTTCATCTCAGGAGCATGAAAGTTCCAGACCAAAAGGCGAGAGACACCCCCTCCCTCCTCTGTCTTTTTGTTCTTCTTGGGCCCTTAGTAGACTGGATGATGTTGTTTCCACATTTGAGAAAGGAGCTCTTCACTGGATCTTCTGAATCGATTGCTAAGATCTTCCTGAGACAGCCACTGGGCACCTCTAGAAGTGAAGATGGCCTGCTATCAGGCCATCCCATTGTCTTCAAAACATAAAGCCAACCACTGCATTCTCCATCCTGCATCTCTCACAGTGCAGACAGGATGGTTGCTGAAATGCAGACAGGATCATATGGCTTTCCTACCTGCCTGCTTCTGTAAAACCTTTGTCCATGTCACATCTGCCCAAATCCTCCTTCCAAAATGTCCAAATGAGCCCCCTTTGGCCGACACAAGGTTCAGCTTTCATGTTACCTCTTTAGGGAACTCTTGAACCCTAAACTGAATTAGATTTCCCTGTTACAACTCTCATTATACATCATTTTCTTCCACATAACAGAGGCTTATTATGTGTGCAATTAAATAATTGTATGATCGTTAGCTTAATGTGTCTGCCTCTTTTGTACTAAAAGCTCCATGAGAACAACAGCAACAACAACAAAAACCAAAAATCTGTTGCCTTGAGATTTCACATTTAGTAGGTTCTTAATACATGCATTTATTGAATAAATAATAAAAGAGCAATCTTTGTAACACAAAACAGGAAATTCCATGATCAGGTCTTGCTTCTCACGCAGCTTGCTTACTATTACATGCTGCCTGCTTCTGACCACCCACACCAAGCCAGACAGCCATACATACAAGCTGCTCATGGTTACAAACACCAAGCCTGTGTCATTCTCTTGGTTGTGCTGCAGCCTACTTGTGATGTTTGTCTGGTATTTCCAACCCCTGGCATCTGTCTACTCTTCATTCAAGACTCAGTTGAAAGCATACCTCCTCCATAAGACTTTTCCTCCTCATCTCACCCAGGTAGAAATAACCACTCTGCCCCATACTTGAGCACCATAGTATAATTCAGGTCTTATGGAAGCAACAAGGTTTAATGTGGCCAGAACCCACTAGTCTCTCTCTCTCTCTCTCTCTCTCTCTCTCAATTTATTTATTAATTATGTGTATAGCAGTCTGCCTCCATATATCCCTGAATACCAGAAGAAGGCACAAGATCTCATTATAGATGACTGTGAGCCACCATGTGGTTGCTGGGATTTGAACTCAAGACCTCTGGAAGAGCAAGCAGTGCTCTTAATCTTTTATTAGTCGATCTTCGGCTGTTGGTAGATTTGGGTTCCAGTGAGTGTCCACCAGGTTTTTCCAACTTCTTGTGTTCCAGAACTAAAACCTGAACAGAGAGACACATGAGTAATAGCAGAAGTGCAGATAGTTTACCAAGAAACGATGTACTTCCAAGACTGGAAAAGGGCCAGAGCTGGGAGAATGTTTAGAAGGTCAGGTGCAAACACTGTACACACTGTTGGGAATTTTTACATCCCAGGCTTCGGGGTCATTCACACAGCATGGGTCTTTTCTGTTCATGCTCTATTTGTTACATATTGGCCTTTGTGGCAAAGAGCCTCTAGTCTCTGTGCCAACTGCCTCTTTAATATGCTAATAGCGACCTCACTCTCCATGTGACTCTCCTGCCTCACAACAGTCGGGCAGCATTCAGCTTCAATATGGAATCAATGAAGATGGTGGTCACCCTAGAGCCTGCAGTTATTCATAAGGTGAAAACCTACTTCCCATCCCAGAAGCACACAAAACTCTACACGGGACTTTCAATCTTTTCATTCATTCATTCATTCCAACTTCCAAAAGGAGCCCTCATAGTGTAGCAAAAATAGCACAGGCACCACAGCTTAGGGCCCCAATTTCCCAGCAAGCCCCTAGGCTTTTGTGAGAACACATTTAACTCCCTCTCAGTGTGCCTGCTGTCAGCTTGGACAGAATGGCTTGATGCAGGGTTGGAAGCCTGCAATCAGATTTTGAAACTCCCAGACCTCTGTCCAAGTTCTGTGGAGCCCTTTCTCTCAGCTTCCTCTTGAATTTCTCTAAGATTATGTCTAATTCTGTTATTCAACAGATGACTTTCAAAGCATCTTGATTTTTTTCGGATTGCCCTTTTGCATTTTTATAGCAGAGCAACAAATTTGCCTCTGCCTAGCAGCCCCAGACTAGCAGATCTTAGTCCAAGAAGAGCTTTTAAGAAGTTTCTGGTATAATTTACCCTCCAAAGCTATGAAATAAATAAGTCTTGCCTCAGGGCTGAAATCGCAAACATGAAGCATTCTAATCCTACTCTTTGAAGATCAGCAGGTGTCATCAGTGATCTGTCCTTTACTGCCACCTCCCAGGAATCATTCGGTTCAGTGAAGTCCCTTGGGGATCTGATTGACAGCATTTTCTCCTCACCTTCTTGACAGGTACCAAGTGTGAGACCTGGGGCTCCATCTTCTTATGCGCAGTTCTTTTGAGTGACCACACAGGGCCAGGTCAAAGTCACTGGAGTAACCAGGACAACCAGAAGTGGCTGCTGGAAACATAAAACAGCAAATGAATGCAAACCAGCGGACACTTATTCATACACTTCTAGTCTATTTGAATCAAAACCCACCCCTCCTTGGGCTACAGGTTGTCCTTGAAGCACTCCCATGTCCAAAGGATACAAAGGCAGGAGAGTTAGAAGTTCCCGAGTATTGTGAACAAAAGGTTTGATGAAGGTCAACAGTGCTCACTCTAGGCTCTGCTGCCAAGTAGAGACAAGTGGCAGGCTTCCCGCAGCACATGGTGAGGACTCTGCTAGTGTGCAAGGGAGAGAGGGCCCCATCATTTCATTTTCTGAAAATCTCGTGTTTCCTAGAAGTTCAGAAAAGACCTGCAGTTACCTACATCTAGTTTTTTCACAACCTTTGTCCAGATTTTTTTTCTAGATTCCC